ATAACATTGACCATGAAAGAATTTCAGCGATGTAGAGAATTAGTATTTATATGTTCACCCTGAAGGGAGTGTATTGTATATGCATAATACTCTGTCTTAGTTTTTCGGTTGTAACGGAGAGCTCAACGCTAAATATGACGTCTGCGGTGTTTGTAAAGGAGATGGTTCTACGTGCGACAAAGTGGAAGGAGTTTATACGGAGACAACAGAACAAGGCACGTATGATACTATAACTGATAGCCTAAAATAATCAAAACATAATTATAATTATGTTTTTCTCTGTTATTTATAGGCATTCTTAACAGTGGCGAGATTTAAGAAGGATAAAGGAATAAAAAAAATTAACTGAATGAAAGTGATCTTCTTTACTGTGTTGATTAATCACCCTATAATTACTGATTTCAGGTAAAAGAAAGATAATTACCGAGATACCCGTTGGAGCGTATAACATACGGTTCTGGTTTAATTGGCAAACAGTAATGAGAGAAAACTATGTAGGTAATATATTTACATTCTTCTTACCACGGAAAACTTATTTAATTCAGAAAAAAAGAAAAGGTAACTGAAAAATACATCCCCCAGGACAGAAAAGTGCATATTATCGACAGGTTTGATTTTTAAAGATTATGGAGTTTACATTTTTGCTGACTCAGTATATATCCAACAGACACTTATTGTACTGTATTCTTAGGGCATGTATTTTCAAGCAAGTTATTAATCTTGCATGATTTATTATCATTTGATAAAAATAAATTCATCTGCTTTTATCACAGAAATCTACAACAAAGATGGACTTGTAATTCTGTCTAGCTGGATACAGTGGATTTGGGATACGACAAAGAACCCAACAAATTTCGCCGGTACATATTGGAATTATGTTTTCTGGCGTCAAGAGTTGTATGCTAAAGGACCCATCACCGAACCTGTAATCATTAAGGTAAAACCTCAATAGCTTTCATCAGTCCAAAGGAGATACAAATGCCGTAAACCAACTATTATTCACAACACATTTATTGTGAAATCCATGCGCAACTATTAATTTTCGTGACTGTGGAAACATTCTTCATTTAAATAGTTCATGGCGAAAAATATTCACTAGTAAATAAAGTTCGGGAAACTTGCAGATATTTCTCGCACAGAATTTAAATGTGGTTTTACAGTCCACATTGCTGAAAATTGACATTCAATTATATTTTCAGCACTACAGATATGGAGAGAAGAAAAATACTGGCATTAACTATATGTATAATGTACCCAAATCTGGTAAGTAGAAACATGTAAAGACAGTAGAATAAACATTTCCATAGCTGTACAAAGCAGTCATCGTATCATCTTTTGTATGTTAAAAGCAAATTTAATCTCAGTTTAGGTCGAGATAATTAAAATCAAGTTTACCAATTCAAATATGTCCTACAATGCTTGTAATTCATAACTTCCAATGAATGTTCATGTATTTAATAATAAAGTCAGTTATTGCTATGTTTGTTTTACTTGTCACAGTTAATATTGTTTTTCTTTTGAAGTTAAAACTTGTCAAGGACAATGTGCAAATGGAGGAACATTTAACACAAAGATCTGTTCCTGTGACTGTCCTAGTGGGTTTTATGGTAAGGCCATATGATTATACTATGTTTTCTTGTTTTATATGAATGTCACTATATATGGTTTACAGCAAAAATATTCAACAAGACTTTCGACAAAACATCATGGCTAAAGAAAATTCAGTTCTCCTGATAGATACAACACTTTTTTTTACAATAGAAAAAAGGATATTGTCTCTAAGAAATCTTTTAATAAAGATTTGGCCAGAGAGGCCTTGATATGAATTGTTTAGGTTCTTGGACAAAAGTTATGTATATGAAATACATGTATATATCTTTTACGCCACTGTTACAGAGAATGAATATACCGTACATAAAACATAGAAGTGATAGAACGCAAGGGAAAACGAAAAAGAAAATTAATGGTATCATATTAAAAAGATCGATGTTGAATTCTGCTAATTATCACAACTGATTTCTAAAACAGGAAATGACTGCACTAGTCGCTGTAACACCTACTGCTTCAACGGTGCAACGGTTGATCAGTCCAACTGCGCATGTCAGTGCAAGGACCACCAGACCGGAAGACAGTGTAAATGTGAGGCAGGGTACGGCGGTGAAGACTGTAAAACGAATTTATAGAGCAACACAGCTAACTGATTTATCAGTCCAATAAAAGATATTTAAATATAAATATTTTCTTCCATTTTTTTGTCTGAATCCTCGGTTTTTGCTACTGACTGCGCACAATTTCAAACAATATTTCTTTATATTCCTTAATTTCTCCTGATTTGTACTCCTGATTTGTAATTTAGCTAAGCTGTTCTTTTGGAAGTCAGTAGACCTATATGCACTTGTAACATCATACACCTAAATCAATGCCTCTTTAGGTATATATAGTATCATCCAGTACTAATGATAACCACTTGAAGTACTTTTCTTTAAACTGTATAACATTTACAGAATTATTTGTATAAAATTATATATAATTATATATGATATATATTGATGTTTTAACGAAACATGTATCAGGTGCCCTTTTCAAACGGAAGGTTAAGGATATCCGATCCTCAGCCAGGAAGGATAACTCTTAAATTTATTATTTTATTTAAAAAGTCTCAAAATGAAGCTTGAAATTGAGATCTTTTCGTGCAACAATTTTCATTTTATGCATTTTAATTTGATTCAAGGTTCATTGAAGTCTTAGAAAAAAAGTTGACATTTTTACCCCATAAAAGAAAGAAATGAATTCATTTTTAGAGAAGTCGAATTTCCTTTAGTCTAGCATTAGATACCACTGCTTATTAGCATGATATAAAATTAGATGTGATATCTAGCAATGATAGCACAAGCTTTTTACACTATGTTTTATATGACAATTGAAGTAAAAAGAAGAACTAAAATACTGTATAAGCATAAAAAAGATGCAGTTTTCTCCAAATGCCTGGATACCTACATGTATATCTTTCTATCCTAAATTATATTTGTTGATCAATTTTTAATTAGAAAATGCATAGCTGGTGTTTTTATTCGCATTTCCTGAATATATATTTGAGATTTGATAATTTTCCCTATGTAATATGAATAACTATAATGATGAACTTTGAAGAAGTTCCATGAGTAAATTCACATTACTATGTGAAATCAGAGACATTTTTGTGAGCATTTTCAATTACGTAAAAGCTGATTTTCAGAACCTGAGGATCGGACTGCCTTAAAACGAATTACTAGAAGTTTAACACAAATTAATTGAACATGCGTCAATAAAGTAACGCATTTACTGCACGACGTGAACGCTACATTAATTCGAATTAGATTTAGTCTATGCATAATGGCGAAATTAAGTAACGTACAACTGTTGTTTCTAGATATACGTGTAACTACTGTTTAGTAAAAAACAAAGAAATTAATCGCTAAAAAATATGTGCATACATAAATCCGCTATACCTATGCATCATTATGGCAGTTTATGTCACATGTTACTTTAGATGAAAGTTATTTGTTTCAAATTAATTTAATTCATTATACTTTGTATCAATTTAAATGCATCATCAACTTATTTAATGTGCATTCGTGTGAACAGGGTTAAGTTTTAATGAAATCAAAAATTGTAGAAGTAGTATTTTGAAAGATTTTCACGGGTTATTAATTTTGTTTACATGCCGTCACGGTTGTAACACCATTCATAAATTGCATAACTAAAATTGTGAGCCTTGTCATAATCTAATTGTTTTAATGAATAAAACCAAACTTGTAGGAAGATTAGAATTTTGAATGAATTCTACTCATTATTTGATTTTTTCCCCTAGCCACTTCATGCAACATTATTTATCAAAATTAAAATCTAATGTATAGAACATGTATATTGATAAAATCTAAATGAGTACCAAGTTTTACTGAAATCCGACAAAACTGTACAAACAGTAGAATTTTACTATTTCTAGTAACTATGGCATCACCTTTATAGATATGTAATGTCTTGTCATGATATCACATGATTTTTATACTATGTATTGTATAATAATTGAAGTTTCATGGGAGAATTAAAATACCGCATAAGTATTTTTTAAAAAATGCATTTTTCTCAAATGCCTGTGTAGCGATAGTTTTTTTTAATCCTTAAATATACATGTACTTGTTGATACATTTTGAATAAGGAAAGTGCATAATTAATACTTTTATTTGCGTTTCCTGAAAACATTATAAAGATTTCATAATTTTTCTTCCTATTTATAATTTATTAACTTTAATGGTTAACTTTCAGGGAAAAAATGGTTATATTTACATCATTTTGTGAATTTACAAAAAAAGGTACAATTTGTGCTTTATTAAAATTAAAGATTAATGTTTTTAAAATTTAACGTTTTCAAAAAGTTATGAAATTGGCTTAAATGTGATAAATGATGAAAGAATATGGCATAAAAGAGGACCATTCTGGAAATATGACGTCATTAATATGGTACATTTCTATGTTTTAAACAGAAAAAAGCCTCAAAGTGACTCATTTCAGGGGTTATTTTCATTAAGAAAACAGTGTCACAGCCGTTGCCTACTTCAGTTTTCAGATATGTTGTGTAAAATCCTTTAAAAATCACATTTTCAAAATCTTTGTGGGCGATGCATGTACATGTACTCTATATTATCTGAAAGAAAATTCCACTGAAAATTGATGTCTTCTGCAACTTTTTTAGAAAATACTGGAAAATGCACAAGTTCATGACGTCGCAATTGGCATTTAGGAGGTCATATGAGAAAAACTATTTGTATATTCTTACTGAATGGAATTCCTATTATTCAGAAAGGACTTCCATATTTCAGACCTTAATTCGGGATCTCACTACGAAATCTCAGACTCATTCATCGACTATAACAGATCTTACTCTTAAGTTACTCCGAAAAAGCAATAAAAATGACGACCATGCTTTACTGATTCAGTCCCTTTCATCTAAATATCAAACAATGGCGAAGACAAAATCAGGTAACCTCTTTCTTTATCATTTTGACTTTCTAATTATATGTCTTTATTACGTCCTGTTTTTATAATAAAAAAGGAGTAAAAGATATCAAATATCCCTCTTTATTATTTTGTTTTAGGTGGCGCACTGTTTTTCCGATGGGGTAGAAAGACTTTTCCAGACAATGCAACGGATCTAGTATACTTAGGTAAAAGGGCTTTGTTTCAAACAAATAATTAAAGAAGGTATTAGGAAAATTAAAAATCCCATAAATATCACAAATGTACAACATGTATTATTTTATAATGGTGTTTTAGCACGAACATTAAGAAAGACTTCAAGAACACATAATTTCAGAAACAGACATTTATTCAACATTTTTAAAAATCATAATAGTGTTCCCGTCAATGTGATTGATATACTAATTGCCTTACATTAATTGTAATTGTATTACATGCCAACGTTAGATTTTTTTTCTTTTATTTGTTTTGCACTCCACTACCTTATTTTACATCATACACAAGTAATTGAAAAATATGAAGGGAATTCAAGACTAAGCTTTGATCAAATGTTAAAAGGTGAGGGTCGTTGACAGCTCTGCAGTATTTTTTGAACCATTCTCTATTTGAACCCTCAGATTATCAAGCATATGGTCAAAAATGCAGACGGATTGAACCTTCAACTAAACTTCTGTCTGCATATCTGATTTAAGAAAATTGATTTTTCATGCATCACTTCTCTCCTCTTATATAATGTTTTATTTTCAGTCAACTTACTGGAAGTGTACTTCAATATACTTGCTTTTTCAGACAGAGGTAATTTTCATCTTTTATAACCCTATTTATAGTGAAAAGTAAGTATTGAAATGTCACGGTGGCTTTTTCTTTCAGGATATGCAGGTGGATCGAAATATTCCAAGGTCGGTGGACCTGCTGATTTCCTTTGCATGGTGCCGGATCCAGATTTAGTTCCAAATATCGTAAGTGGTCAGTATATCCATTGCGTGGAATATGATCACGGAATAACTGGATCGAAAGTCGGACAAAACGTTCTTTGTGCCGTGTGCAGAAGTAGGACCGAGGAGACCACACTCATGCTTCCCGGAAAATCATCTTGCTACCCTAGATGGAAAATTAAGTACAGAGGCTACTTAGCCTCTGGAAACGAAGCATTTTAATCTTCCTCAAGTTACATCTGCTTGGATGAACATTCAGAACAATGGCATGCTGGAGATGGTCTGACATTGGACGGAAAGCTCTTGTATACAGTCAGAATTGCGTGTTGTTCTCTGGCTTGTCCGCCTTATCATAATGACAGAGACGCAACATGTGTTGTTTGTACCAAATAACTTTTAAGATAATGAATAAAAAGAATACATCACTGTAGAGTATTTGACGCATGAAATGTGTTCTCTGGTAGTTAGATTATTCAAATATCCCTTTATCAATTAGAAGAAAAAGTTCAAAACAATGTAAAAACGGGGCCGAACCTTATCCCTGAGTTAGTGAGGTGCCCCTAATCCCTGGATATACTGTGAGTGAGAGGAACAGAAGAAATTCAATGACCTCAAAGCATGGTGTCCCCGAATAATGGGCTTTTTGAACAGAAAAAAGATGAAAGGGATATTTTGTCATTGTATATATTGTCATCCAAATTGCTATCACCTTTTGTCCTTGGATTAGGGTATTTTGAACTTCTAGATTTCTTATTTTCTTGTTTGTTCTTTTCCTCTCAATTCGCACATTGGTTGAGGGACATCACAGCTAAAGTGGGTCGAGACTAGGGGGTGAAACTATCCTTTCAAAAGCATGGCCTTTGTCCTGAAACAATATAAATCGGGGGTTGGAGGGGTGTTGGTGTTGGGTGTTTGGTTGACAGTTATCCGTCTCGTAAACTGCTCTCGGCATCGATCATGATCCAGCATATATATATGTTTCTCAAAGAAAGCTTGGGAAAAATATTTGATTTCACTGTTTCTTAATATAACGTTCTCAAAACGATGTTTGGGAACAAAATGTTTTACTCTTTTATTATTATTAAGATCTTCCGATTCCCAACGTGTTTTCGTTCTGTTTCCTTTTATTTTTATTATTATACCATTTTTTCTTTTGGTACCAAACGTGGTAGATTGAAATTACATTTAATTGGTGAAATTGCATGTACTTCTTTGAAATATCATGATTAAAATTACAATTTAAATACTTCTTTTTGGATAAAAAGGGATTAAATGACTATTTTTGTTTTCTTAGTAATTATGATTACGTTTGATTACATTCTCAAGAAATGTTTCGCTGAAGTCTATGACTTTTTATTAGAAAAGACTTCCTGAACATTTTTTTGTTTATAAACTTTTTAAAATAGAACTGGGCAGAACGTTCTAAAACCTAGTACACCTTTCAACACGTTACATAAAGAAAACATTTTGACATACATAGACACTGTTTAAATTGAAATGGAACTGAGGGTCACTATTATCAGTAGATTAATTAGTTCCATGAGTGACATGTATGATGCATTAATTTAATAAAAACATGTACATTACATGTATTTAAAAAAATGACATGCTTCAAAACGTTAAGAAAATTATTCTGTACATGTATGTGAACTGAAATTGGATGATGTTTTTGTATTTCTAAAAATTATTGAACTGCAGAATTTGAATTTTTGCTTTCCCTGACCTTTTAATTCCAGGTGGAATAATAAAACAATTAAAGAGATAACATGGACATATTTAAACTTGTCAATTGTGTCTGTTTTACTTTGAATCACAATTTATGCAATTGAAAACAGATATATCTATGTTTGATAAGGTTTTAATGTTCAAATTCAAATAAATATTGTTAAATTTAAATTTATTTACAAAATTTTCAAAACTGTCTGTCCTTCTTTAATTATAACTGACCATAGCAGGCAAGGCTGGTGACAATATCGTCTTTGTTTGCAAGGCTCATTGTTATAACTTGTTTTGGAAGAACATTGTTTTATTCCTACGTCGGAAAATCCTACATACACCCCACTTCACGTGATATTCTTCAAAATCACGTTTCAGTGTTTCATACTTTTAATATTCCAGTCAACCGAGGTAAGTTTGATCTAAACTACATATAATGGATTCCTAAACTTCACAAAAAACCTTACAAAGATATATTGCCGGGCACTTACCAATATACAAAGTGCTGTTAAGGAGAAACTTCAGATGCACTGTGTTACAAAATATTCTAAAAGTGGTGCATATCAGATGTGGATCCTCAAAAATTCTAAAGAACTTTTAGAAAATTTAAAATCACCAAATTTTTCCAAAGTCTTTAATATTAAGATGTACGATTATTCTACACTTTTTACAACTATTAGTAATGATAAATTAAAAACGAGGCTTTTTCATATCATAGACAACTGCTTCTACAATTAAACCGGAACTTTTAACATCGTGAGACTGGTCTTCAACAACATTACTTCGTTGAAAATCATTCTGATTCTACATACAAATTCTCTAAATTTGATATTTGAAAGGATGCTGGAGTTCCTCATCGACAGCATTTTATGCAGTCTTCGGAGACAAGGTTTTCCAACAACTGTTGGAATCCAGATGCGCACATATATAAGGGGTATGAGGGATTTGGGTTTGCATTTGTATAAAAATGACTGACCAAACAATCCGATTCTTTATTAAACGTAATCAAAATGCATTTACAAAGAAAGTTATCAAAAGTAATGAAGAAAATAACCATGATTACATTCGATTAAAATTAAATTTCATGTACTCAGATTTATCAGATAACTGATAACATCTACATGTTCTCACTTGGAAAGGTAATCAATTACATCTGATTATATTTACAATTAAAATACTGATTACCTTTAACTTTTGATTTGCACATTCATCAAGAGATATACAAATGCAGTATTGATATATTTTACACTGTTATGTCAATTTACACCTAAAATAGCGGTACTTGACTTCTCAACTGTAAACGGTCTCAAATATATGATATCACATTTCAGTTTGCAACCACTAGGTTATACCGCATCCGGTTTGCAAGGATTAAAAAGTTTATTAAATTGAAAGGTAAGACAACAAATACAAATAGAGTGAAAATACAAGTTAAAGCATTTTTCAAATTATTTTTATAAACATTGTATGTTAAGTTAAGAATAAAATTTTACTGTATTGCCCAGTATTTAATTTAAGGTCATTAACATGTAAAAATATATTAGGTAATATCAGCATTAAAATTCAGGTAGTACATAAAAGAAGGGTCAAAATTTTCCTCGAATTCAATTTTTTTTAAACTTGATATCTTGTTCTAGGATTTTAAAAAATCCCTCTTTTATATAATATGAAAGAAATTCAATCACATATGTTTTGCTCACATAGATTGAAATATGACCTTTCAGACCCCTGTAAGAATATTGTAAAATCCGACTTGAGAATGTGCATTTTCTAAAAATAACCAATCAGTCTATTGCAACTTATGTGATGCTGTTATTAAGGTAACTTTTTGGTTACAAAAATTCAGTAAATTATATTGATAACTGTATATTTGACTAAAATTTGATGTAAAAATAGAACATATATAGCCCCAGGAACTGCAAATTCACTTGTAGATATGCTGCACTTTTTAGTTCCCTTAAAAGAAAATGTATGATTCATTTTTACAAAAAATCAACAGAATGATTGGAATAAAACCCAGGTTAATTTGTGTCAGAATGAATAAAATTAAATCAACAGTCTCAGACATTCGGCGATTTAAAAAAAATCAATGCAAAAAATTAAAAGAATCAGTAAATTGCGTCGCAGTATCTGACCTATGGCCTCTTAATATGGTCTTAACTTTATTGTACATAAAAAATTAGGCTTCTTATAAATAAGTCCAAATATCAGATCACTACTATAAATGGATCAAAAGTTATTTTGCATTTGACAGACGGTCATATCGCATGTAGATATGTAGATATCACATGACCAATGTATAGGCTGTGCCGAAAAAGTGACACAGCTTAATATTACTTTTTTTTCACAAAGTAAATTGATTCTTGACATTATAGTAATATTATTCTTTTTCTGAAGTACTTTATAAAAAAAAGTTTAAAAATATTTCATGGATGTTTTGAACTACTTAAATTCTCTCTCTCTCTCTCGATCGATCGATCGAAAAAGATCTATACATATACATGTGTTTGCGTGTAAATTGTATGGCTTTTCCCGAGAACTTCTATATACTACCATATAAGTCTTCTCAGTTCGGATATCAACAATGAATATGAAAAAAACTTATCTGTTGAATTATAATATTTACAAACATTGCTACAAAACAATTCTTACACATAATTTAAACTTGTCTCTAAAACTCGTGATAATATTTAAAGCAATGTTTAAGTTGCTAGGAAAATATCAGCTGTAATGTTTCTGAATCTTTTACCAACAACATCAGCACCAATGTAGTAAAATATTGAGCATTTTATGATTGGATGTTTGAAAATATCAGAGTTTGTGAAATAATAAACAAATTAAATATTCTTTTCCAATTTCAACCTTCCAGTATACCGCGAAATCGATTATTTTCGTGGGGTCAGTTTTTCGAGGTTTGATTGATCGTATGTTGTTTTACGTCCCGTTCGAGAATTTTTCACTCATATAGAGACGTCACCATATACCGGTGAAGGGCTTCAAATTTAGACCTTTACTCGGCACTCAGGGCCATTGAGCAGTGAGGGTTCTTTATCGTGCCAACGCCTACCGTGACACGGGGCATCGATTTTAAGGTCTCATCCGAAGGACCCTCAACTTTCACTTCAAAGTGCAGAGCACTTGGCAAAGGAACTGTTGCTACCTGATTTTTATCGACTTAGGTCAGTCGCGGCCGTGATTCGAACACACGACCTTCCGATCATGGAGCGAGCGCTCTACCGACTGAGCTACCGTGACGGTTTTTCGAAGTTTGAAGAAAAAATATTGGTTTGATGGGGTTTGATTTCCTG